GCACTGAAATGAGCATCTACCTTCAATATCATGATGCATTCTGGGAGTAACAGGATGTTGAATTCAAAACACAGTTATTATATAAAAAAAAAGAAAGAAAAGAATTTACTTTGTTATTGGTTGGAAATATTTTTGCCTATACAGGTGCAGCTAAGAAAATAGCTTACATCTTCACATAATAATCATTTTTGTCATTTACTGATAAATAAATAAATATTTTGACATTAAAACTTATTTGACTATGTTGGGGGGAAAAAACAGTTTTATCCATTTCAAACAAAAGCTTATGACAAAGTAAGAAGATCAGGGCGGGACACTGCAAAGGTTAACAAACTTCAGTGTTTGTATGTCCTGCTAAACCCAGACGCTGCAGGCTGTTGGCAGCTCATTGTCACTAATTGTGTGTTTGGTTGGTTTCGCCTGCAGGCTTGGAGTGGGAAGACGACTTCTCAGCTTTGGAGAAGAACTGCCATTTTCAGCGTGTCGGTCGCTCTCGGCGCTACAGCCTCTCCCTGCCGACACAGAGCTGGGCTGCTCAGTCCAGGCCGGAGCGTTACTTTCTGTCCCAAACCTCCCTGTTCCTCACCCATGTCACTGAGTCAGACCTTGAGCTGTGAGATAAACGGTTAGTGACACACATAAACGCACACACACGTATTGAGCTGTGGTTGCTGATTTTTACGACACAGTGGCAGCCGACCGCAGCCTTTCTATCGCACCGTCTGTCTTCAGCCAGAGGCCGTCTCACTGTCACCATGGTCTAATGTGACATCCACACTTGTTTTTCTTTCAGACAGCCGGCCTTGGTCTAATGGAAAAACTGACTAATCGTCCAGATCTCGTCCTCCTCACCTCTAACTCATCTCCCCACCTCCCTCCTCTTTTATGATGAGTCAGGGATTTTAATGGCTTTTTTTTTTTTTTTTTTTCCCTATCTTTTCCTCTCTGCCCCAAATGGATTCAAAGCACCTGCCGTTCATGACATCACAGCCACGCAGGACTGTGTGACAGTGCATTCAGCTTTAACAGTTGTTGGTATGACATGACCACTGGCTCGGATGTGAAAGAACAGCCAGTTGCGTAACAGCGCTGGTACCTTTCCAGCTGCAAACCTCTTTGGGAGCTGCTACTCACGCCAGCTTGTGTCCTTGGACCTGAGCTGTGAAGCAGTGACACAAATGTGTTCATTTCCAACTTACACAAGTTTAATAAATTGTCATCTGTGTCTGAAATCCCACTTCTATCTTTAAATTGTCGGATTCAACCAATTCCAGGTTAATCTGGTCGAGTATATGTTGTTTATACAGTTTGTTTTGCTCAAACAGAGCATGCTTGTGGAGGCCCTGTTTACTTGCCTCATTACTGAAGTGTATTCAGCTCAGAATTTATCAGCGGCTGCGGCTAAATAAACAGTGTAAGCCTTAGGGCCAATGGAGGCAGAAACTGAACAAACTAAAAGTAATAGATAATGTTTCCACAGAGCCAGCATCAGCGAGGTTTGGTTGATTAGATACAGTGTACCTGAGGAGGAAAGGAAACCTGGCAGGACCAGTCTTAGTGTTCACAAGCACACACACACACACACCACACACACACACACACACACACACACACACACACACACACACACACACACACACACACACACACACACACACACACACACACACACAAGCTGTTCAAGGACACATGCTAAAAGTGTTTGCTTCTGAGAACTGGGAACAACACACCTGTAAATTATTGTTGTTATTCACAATATTTAAACACAAGTGTTAATGTTGCTAAAAGCCAAATCCTTTGACTTCATTCATGAAATGCTTTTAACTGTCAGCTTCCATAAAGTTTGATTTTATTATCGCCAAAGTATTTTCGGATGTTTCGTTTTCCCGACTTTCAAGCTAACGTGCCACTTAGCCTTGAAATTGTTGCATTTAAAAATGCATTTGAAGTATTTTGTGATATATGTTCACTAATATTTTTCCTGCATAGGTGTTTTTTTTAAGATTAAAACAAAAGTCAAGGTATGATAATAAAAGCCCAGTGACAAAAGGGGCATTACACTTACAGTGCATAAGCAAGGAACAAAAGGGGGTGGGGGGGCAGTTTTGCCTCGGATGCCCCTGGAGCAAAGAGACAGGGTTCATATGCAAAACCACACATCCATCCAGTGTGCTTGGGCTTTAGCACAGAGACACAATGAGTGTAAGACCCTATATACTGGGATTTTACATTTTAAGCACAAAGGTGGAAGCTGGGGATTTTAAACTGCGACAGTCACACACTGATATCTGCTCTGCACGGTCCCATATCTCACTCCGTTTATCCTCATCAGTGTTCACACCATGTTCATTTTACCATGTCTGTGCAACATCCTGTGCATTCAACACATCACTTAGGTTAAGACGTTATAGAAGAGATGAGTTATGGATTGTTTAGTTGAAGTAGCTGTTCCACCTCTGAGCATTAATACTAAAAGGAGTTTTACTAGTTATGAAATCTCGAATCTGGAGGAGTCTAAAAAAAAATCATGTCTGGGGAGACTGTAGTTTTCTTGAAGTTGTTCAAACAACAAAAAGGATGCACCCTCAAATAAACACACATTTTCTTTATCCCATGGGAAGTCCATCATACCCGGCAGGAAAGCAGTGTGACCTTGAATTATAAACAAAGGGATCATCTGTAGGGGGGGGGCAGTAATCTGGGCGGGACGTTCATTTTAATAACAGAGACTGCCGAGCAGTCGTACGGGAGGTGGAGCCCGTCTAGAGGAGGGTTCAAACTGGCCTCAAACATCTCTGAGGCGGCTCACTGGCATCACTAAAGACCAGAAAACTGATGATATGAACAAGATGTGGAACAGAAGTCACGGGCTCTAATACATAAAGCAAGACGTTGTCCACATAAAGGGAGATTTTATGTTGGGCTCAACCTACATTTACACTTCTGATGGTTGGGCCCTGTCTGATGACCTCGGTCAGAGGCTCCACTGCAAGAGCAAAAAGGGGTGGGGCTAAGGGGGTGGGGCTCCTTGACATGTTGAGCGATGGCGTGGGAAGCGTTCTTATCTATCTCTTCTGTATTTCCGAGGCGTTTGTGAAGAAAACGTAAGGTTAGTCTATCTGTGATAATAGATAACAACAACAAACTAATGATCAACAAAAAAGAAATCAAAATGATAAATGAGAGCAGGTCTATTTGCCCATAACAGCTACTTTTCTAAAAAATGTGTTTAAATCAGTTACTTTTACTGCAATATTAAGATAAGATGATCATGATGAGCATTTTCTAAAAAAGGGAATAAACATTTCTAAAACTGACCCAGAAGAAACTGTGATTACTACTAGTGCTACTTAACTACATGAATGTTCAGTATATGGCACTTCCATACCCCTGCCCCGTCTCAGGACTCCACTATCTGCCACAGTAGGAAAGGGCAATAATCCCAACTGCCAACAGTTGTGTTTGAGGCCCCAGGTCAAACAGACAAAGCAAGATTACAGCCGATCACACATCCATGTGTGGCAGGGGTGTGTTGGTGATTATTCAAAAAGTGTTAATTATGTTAATTATGTTGGATATTTACTCAGTTCAACTGTAGTTTGGGGGCGTCCAGCGGTCTACGTTACCCTCTCTTCACAGAAGCACTGCAGAGCAAAAAACAAAAAAAGAAAAAACAAAAAGTAAATAATGTGACGTAATTTAAATGAGACCTGGCCATGCGTCTGTACGTTCAGGTGAAGCCTGGAGGACTGTATTCAAATGAAGCAGAGGGAGGTGATAAGCCACAATGGAAATTATGTTAACTGCTCAGCGTTAAAGGAGTGGACGGGGAACCAAAACGCAGTGTTACTGTCTTTTAACCGTCTCGCTTCACTCCTCACAGCAGGCCAAAACAAGATCAGTTCACCTGCAATTCAGGTGAGAAAACACTTCTTGGACATGGACTGTAGCACTGTGGAAGAGCAATGTGTAGAAGAGTGACACAGTATGCTCATATTTAAAGTAAGAAGCACATTGAAATTTCACTCCAGACATGGAAATACATTTTTTTCATCATACTGTAGATTGGGGACGATATCACTTTAAAAACATGTAGTGACGAGTCATGATATCTGCCACCTTCAGTATCTCTCTGAGGAGGCTTTTCATTTTCATCCAAAACATGCACATTCATTTTCATTTCTTTTAAACCACAATTAAATGATGTTTATTAATGTGGCTTTTACTTGATATCGTGACGCCATGATGCTAATATGATGATATTTCTACTTCAGCAGTAGTAATAATGAGAGGAAAAACACTGAGTCGTTGCATGTTTTGTGGGTGATCCTTGATGCTACACAGATATCAGCTATCATCAGTGGTGTAAAGTCATTTTGTACTTGTTACTTTGCTTCATATAACAGCTGTTAGGCTACTAGTTACTTTAGAGAATATTTCACACATAAAATATGTGATCGGTCTATAAAATATGATGATGAACTCTTATAGATTAAAATTTGCTCCACTTCTAAAATCTATAACATCAATAATAATGATATGATATTAACAGCATGATGAATAGTTGAACTTTTTATACTTTGTCTTACTCATAGCTTACTTCTGTATTTCTAAGTACAATTTTGAATGGACTTTAACATGTAATGGAGTATTTCTGCAGTGTAGTATTGCCATTTGTGAGAACTACAACGTTTATTTTGCCTAAGCAAATGATCTGGATAATTGTTCAACCACTAAGTCTTGGGCTAGCAGATAACTTAATTAAAACAAATCTTAATTTAAGTAATTATGAGGGCTACATGGTTTTTTTTTACTGCTGTGACACTGTGGCTGTGCAGCAGGAGGAGGAAGAAGAGGAGTGGGAGGAGGAAGAGGAGGCTGCTGGCAGCTGCGGACAGAGCGAGGAGCCGCAGGGAGCGAGCCTGCTCTGTGATTGGCTGAGCAGCGCGACGTGTACATCAGTCAGCTACAGGTAGCTCACATGTGACAGTTGTCTGAGTGAGTGCGCGGCTCGGTGACGCTCCGCTGCTCGTTCCTCTATGTGATGGTGCTTTCACTGACCGTCTGCATGGTGACGCTTTTTCTGTAAAAGGAGGAGGAAAGTTAGTTTAACTTCCAAGGTAAGGCTTTTTATTTATTTAAAAAAAGAAGTTAATTTCGTGGTGTTTAATTCACTCTCGTTGTTGCCCTGTGTATCATTTACTACAGTGGGTGAATTTGACTGGTGCCTGTTTATCTCATATCAGCTCTGACACTACCGTTGGGGTGATTAAACTTGGGTTAGGGAAATAAAGAGGGAAGGGGAAAACTAAAGGGATGGTGAATCACCCTGTCCTTTTATTTTTTGGTGTTTACACTAATCTGTGTAAAACAGCTTTATCTAATAAGTTTTAATATCAGCATATTTGATAATATGGTTTAAAGACATTTCCATTGCTTGTGAATTCACAACAGCATATTTCAACATGTAATAGTCACTGACACCGGGACGTTTATTTACTGATTCATCGGCTCCAGTGTTTCAAGCCAAACCATTTTCTGGTTCAAGTGAAGTTAAAGAGCACTGCTGCTGCTGGCTGGTCTCTGTGTTTTTGTGAGTGTAACCTTGAAATGGACATTATCTCAGGACTGTGGGGATAAGGGAGGCATAGATTAACAGACCAACATCATGGGGTTTTCACACTGCAAGAGGCTGATTAGATACAACAGGATGCAAGGCTGTTTGAATTGGAGAGAGGCTTACACAGTAAATTGGGGATTACAGGCTGACTGAGAGAAAAAATTTAAAGATTTTCAGCTTGTTCTCCTTGTCTCTTAACATTCATGTCTTTTCTTCCAGGCCTATTGAAGCTGTGAGATCTACACTGTCAGAGAGAGAGAGAGAGAGAGACAGAGAGAGAGAGAGGGGAAGGTGGCAGCAGGATGAAGTCCAAAGGGAAGGCTGTGAAACCATCCAGGAGGACCTGGTCTGACCCGGAGCCAGAACTAGAAGCAGACACAGAACCAGAGCCTGGCTCTAGTGAGCAGGAAGGCTCAGAGGCCTCAGTGCGGATCGGCGGCTCCTGGAGGGGGTCGCTGAGGAGCGGGGACAGGAAGCGTCAAGGAGGAGTGGGTGGAGGGCGGCGGCGGAGACAACATGGCTCCAGCACCAAAGAACGCAGCGTCCGCCGACTGGAGAGCAACGAGCGGGAACGCCAGCGCATGCACAAACTCAACAACGCCTTCCAAGCGTTGCGCGAGGCCATCCCTCATGTGAAGACTGACAAGAAGCTGTCCAAGATCGAGACACTGACCCTGGCTAAGAATTACATCAAAGCTCTGACCACCATCGTCCTGGACATGTCAGGGGCCTGCCTGCCGGCCGGCGGGGTCCAATCAGAGGCCAGCGCCGCCAAGCTTCTCCAGTGCTACCAACAGCACCTGGAGGAGGAAGGGGAGGAGGGTCTCACCCAGTATCTCACCCACATGCACAGCTTCAGCCAGGGCAGCTAACAGTGGCTGCAAGGTGGTTCGGAGACCAGGAGAGCACACGGAGGCTGGTCTCCACGGCAGAAAGGTGTGTGTGTGTGTGTGTGTGTGTGTGGAGAGAGACTTCTAGGGCCAAATCTGAAACTATAGCCAGTTCCTACGGTGCTCACGCTGCTCTGAGGTCTGGTCAGAAGCGGTGTCTTCTGTAGGAACCAGGAGCTGTTCCACATCTGTGGTGTCTGACAATAAACACATGCTTGAACATTCAAGAGGTGATATGTCGAGAACTTTCAGGACCGTTCGCCTCGCAGACACAAAGTGTGCAGACTGGACATGGACCGTGGTTGTGAAGTGAAAAGACTCATTTGTTATTGTACTCAGAGAGGAAGGGCTAATCTTTCACCATTCTGCCTTTTTTTTTTTTTTCTTCTTCTTCTTCTTGTCGTCGTCTATGGTTTGAGCTGAGGCAGGGACTTGTTCTCCTTTGTGTTATCTTGTGATCTCGAGTATTTTCTGTTGAGAAACCTGCTCTAGTAGCCTCTAGTCATAACTGTCACATTCAGGAAGAAAAAAAAAAAAAAAGAAGGCAAGCAGCAAACCTAAATATTGAAATGTTGAAGCTAGAAAGTCTGTTTGTTCATTTGAGAACACGATTTACTTCTTACAGGCCGTGCACTCATACAGTGGCTGGAAGGCAGAGATGATGTTTAAATTGTATGTTTGAAGTTTTTTTTTCTTTTGGAGGACACTGTAGTGAAAAACACCAGGAGAGGAGAAGATATTTGAGAAGTTATCATCAATAAACACGTTTATTTATTGACAAGGACTGTTATTTTGACCATGCATAACACTTGAGAATTGTACTCCACAATGTCAACAGCATTAATGTGTTGCTCACTACACAGTAACACAGTTTGACGTTAGTTATTCACAGATAATACAGACGGATCTCTGTACACTTTCAACATTTACAAATGCTGCATCATATTTAGACAGTTACTCACCATATGGGTGAATTTAGGCAGCTGTTAACATAAACTAACGTCTGAACAGATGCAATCCAGCAGTGTGTATGGTCTATGAATATGTATTAATGGAAAACTATATTTTAAATTCATTGCTCTTTGTCAAACACTATTCCACCGTTAGATATCACCGCAAACAGCCACTACACTTGCTGTATAATACTAATATCTTTACAGATTTATAACAAAATATAGTGTTTTTGACGAGTGTTTTTCTCACTGCTCGGTCATTCTGCTAACATCAGTCCAAAGGAAGTAGACAACAAGACAACATTCTCCTGAGAAAGAGGAAGGTTCAGTTTTAGCATTTCAACCACAAGACTTTTACAAGCGATCCACATTTTTCCCTTATTTACAACAGTAATCATTGCACATACTCCACGACAGTAACAGAATAATCATAACATGTTTGGTTTCTTTTTTTTTTTTAAGAAAATAACATCAAAATCTTTATAAAACATAAGCCAACTGTGTGTGCAAGGCAAGCAGCAACCACCACAGGTAAAGTAAGCCATTGCAGATCTGGTCACAGCTGCTACATGATGGTTTCCAAAAAGACACACAGCTGTATTTAAGTTGATGGGTAAAACTCTAAGTCCCATCTAGAAATAAAAAGTCAATATATTTTTTCTGCAAGACGTTAAAGTAGCAGCTCTTGATTTGACTCCTTCCTACAGTATGTGTCTTCTACCATTAAAAGAGACGAAGGGAATGCTTTAACCGTCACACTCAGCCATGGTGGTTTCTTCTTGCTCATCTGAGCTTCACACAGAATTTGGAATAAAACCAAAGTTAGGCTACAAAAAGTCCCGGTCAGAAACTTGTGGGTGACGAACAGAAGCTGCATCTTTGCTTTTTCTGCCGTCTGTGTCATAAAGTTATACAGCAGTGTGTCTGATGAACAGACAATAGAAGCCGCCTGGATCAAACATCGTCCTGTCTGCTTCATCCAGTGTCCAGAGTAATCAGGCTTTACTCTGTTTTATCATGTGTTATTAACCTGTTGCCTGCAGGCTAAGATGAAATATCATTTTTATTTTTGTACACAATACCAGCCCTGGAGCTGACAGCTGAGTAGCTACACAATTGTAATTC